AGATAGTCAATACCATACATCTGAGTGTAGCCTTTAGCAACCAGCCTAGCCTTAAACCTCTCAATAGATCCATCAGAGTGATATTTAATGGTAAACACCCATTTACAACCCACTGGTTCCTTCCCTTCAGGCAAGTCAACAATATCCCAGGTATGGTTCTTATGCAAAGCATTCAGTTGAGCCATTATAGCATCCCTCCATTCAGGTTTATATAAGGCTTCCGGTACGGACCTGGGTATCACATGGGAAGAAACAGAAGTAAGAAAAGATTCGTAGGAAGGAGAGAGAAGGCTGTAAGACAGGTGTTTGGAGATACAATGGGCTGTACACTTCTGCTTGCCCTTGCGGAGAGCAATAGGAAGGTCAATGTCTGGGAAAGATGTAAATGGGTCAGAAGAAGGCTGACCTGTTACCTTGGTAATGATGGGAGGAGCAAGAGGCTTTTCTGTAGGAGTGGAAACAACCTGCCCATGTCTGAATCTATGCCTTTGGTATCACCTTTAGAGAATAGGATGAGGAATTATAGGAGAATGAGGTGGAGGAGGAGGAGGAACTGGAATATTGGAGGTAGGTCCAGTGGGAGAAGTAGACACTTCATGAGAGGACTCGAGGAATGGGAAGAGGAACAACTGGAGACATAGCAAAGGGCTCTTCAGATTTCTCCCCCTCAGGAGAAATACTAAAGAAAGGAGTCAACTCAGCAAATGTGACATTCCGAGATACAAAGCAGGTGCCACTAACTGGATCAAAACAGCAATATCCCTTTTGTGTGGAAGCATATCCCAGAAAAACACATTTACGAGCCTTAGGTTCAAATTTGTGCCTTTGATGGCTGTGAACATGCACATAGCAAGTACACCCAAAAACACAGAGAGGAAGAGAAAAAATATCCTCATCCGGGAAGAGAAGGCTAAAGGGGGTTTTGAAGTTAAGAACCTGGGAGGGCATACGATTGATAAAAAAGGTAGTAGTAAGAACAACATCTCCCCAAAATTTTATAGGAACATGGGATGCAAACAGGAGGGATCTGGCAACTTCAACCACATGTATGTTCTTCCTTTCCGCTACTCCATTCTGTTGTGGAGTGTAGGAACAAGAACTTTGATGAATAACCCCTAAAGTTTCAAGATAGGCGGAGAGGGTTTTCTCAAAATACTTCTTAGCATTATCAGAACGGAATATTTTGATCCGAGTGTTAAATTGGGTGAGGATGAGTTCATGAAATTTGTGCACAATAGCTGGTACTTCATCCCTGGATTTCATGAGATAAATCAAAGTGTAACGAGAGTAGTCATCAATAAAAAGGATAAAGTACCTATAACCCCTCATAGTTGGCAAATGATATGGCCCCCACACGTCAGAGTGAACAATATGAAAAGGAGAAAGAGATCTTTTGTTGCTTATTGAATAAGAATGTTTACAATACTTTGACAGTTCACACGACTCACAATGAAGACTCGATAAAGACACTCCCTTAAATATATCTGGAAACAAATGACTCAAAGCAGAAAAAGACAAATGACCAAACCAAAAGTGACATAACAAGACTTTGTCAATAGACTGAGACAAAACTGACTCTAAGGCAACTCCATGAGGTGGTCCAAAAGCTCTATCCG